CAATTTTAGGAAAAAATAATATTATTGACCATGTTATTTATAATAGTACATATTAAACCCCACTATATTAAACATTCCTGTTTACACTTTGTTAAAAAACACTCTTTACATTTAAGTATATTATTATTATTATTCTTTTCAATAAATTATTTTTGTTTGAGATATTAAAGTAATAATTTGTAATATTTTTTTCTCTCTTACTAGTGTTCTTTTTCTTTATTTTAATGTGATTTTCTTTTTTCTTTCAGTCATAGATATAATATTTTAAAAATGAAATAACTATTGTATTCTATATGCTTGTATATTAAATAATTATTTAATATATATTTATGTATCTATAGTTTGTTTAGGGGGACATTCTGATAGGAAACAGTCCCAAGTTAGCATACGAAGGATTTTAAATTTCTGGCCAAAGTTAATATAATATAGAAATTTTAATAATCATAAAATATAATATAAATTCAAAATAGAAATATTCAAACAACCCCATTAGATAAAAGTAAGAAAATGCTTATCAGCTACACGAATAAAATGTCATCACATGGCTACACATCTGACAAAAACAATGTATTGAGAATTATACAAACTATATGATTCATATGGCAGCAACGATGAACTATCTATACTATCAAAACAAAAATATTTAAAAAATCTACTGTAAAAAGTTATTGGATCTATTCATTAGCAATTTAATATATCAATAGTTATTATTTTAGTCATTAATTACATTCTCCTTACATTTGCCTAATCAAAACTAACTTTCCAATTGTTCTAAAATAAATAAAAAATTGCAATAATCCGTGGACATATGGATCCCACCAAATGTTTCATCAGTAAAATTTTCACTGCAGTAAATTAAACTAAATTATGCTCGCAAATTCACACTATCAGTAAAATTATTCAAGATTTTGCCATTCATAGGTCGACACTTTTTTTTTTCATTCATAATCGGTAGGTCCCCAACAGATGTTACGTGGGATGCTTGAATGAAAAAGAAATACACTTCATTGTTTTGGTGAACATAAATTGTGAAATTTAAATATCATCAAAAATTATTCAAGTAATAGAGATTCTGATAATCTTATTTTATGGAGCCAAGTGTGATTAAAACAAAATTTTGCTCTCACAAATTTACGATGGGTCCAAACTTTTCGGTGGTTAGAAGCGAATGAAAAAAAAAAGGCTAGTTTATAAATTTTTTTACTAATCGTATTGAATTAAAAAAACAAGTGTTAAACAAAACTGGTCTAAAACATAAAAAATCAATACATCACTGTTGAAATATGATTCTTCTTGCATTTCTTCCCGCAAACTCATTCATCAAAGTTGTATAATCAATCTTCTCATCCATATCCCTTTCGATCGACAACACTGACAATCCATTAAGTCTCTCTTGTGACATACTTGACCGTAGATAAGATTTTATGAGCTTCAACTTTGAAAAATATCTTTCTGCTGAGGCAACGGAAACAGGAATTATCATCATTATACGATATGCTGTCCATGTATTTGGATAACAACTTTCCCTCTTTTTTAAAATCTCCAATATTTCAGCAACCTTCTTAATACCTTCAGGTAAACCCCCTCTCAAAAGCTTCAGTTCCCAAAAAAAATCATTACCATCAATATCAGAATAATTACCATGTTTCAGAAAAGCTTCAAGGTTAGTACAAGAAATCATTAGCTTGTCATCTTCTGCTAGCTTCAGTTTTTTAAAGTCGAATAAAAATCCAAAAGTCTTTTCATAACCATGAAGCTGATCAAACCTTGTCTCAAGAGAAACCAAACCTTGATCCACAATTTTGATGAAGTAGTTGATCCTAAAGTCTTCTTCTGGTGTTAATATCACATCTTCTCCAACTTTATCTGGCTCTTCATCATGAAAATATTGTTTTTCTAGTAGGACGTTTTGCTTTTCTAGAGAACACATGATCAATTTCCATTTCTCTAGCAATCTTTTCAGCTTCTACCTTGGCTGCTTGAAAGTCTCTTTCTCTATAGTCCTTAAAAAAAGAAACAAGTCCTTTCAGTTGAGCAATAGCAATATCAATATCCATATCTGCTGATTGCAGGATCTTGCTTACTTTGTTAACAACAAACAAAAGCTCATACCAAATAACCATTCCAAAACAGAAACTCAAAACTCCCTATTCCATGGGTTTCACTCATGGCAAGAGACTCAGCATCACTTCTTGTTCCCGGATTCTTAATGTTTTCTGCCAAGTAAAACAATGATTCTCGTATCTTAGGAGCTTGAAACCGTATTGCTTTGATGCTGTTGATGCGACTCTCCCAACGAGTTTGTGATAATGGCTTAACTGTAATGCCATTCACAATTTCTTTAAAAATGTCACAGTTATTTGTTGAAGAGGAAAACAAGTGATATATGCGTTGAACAACACCAAAAAACGCTACTGCTATGTCCGACGAAGAAGCAATATCTGAGAGTGCAAGATTCAAACTATGGCAACCACATGGTGTGTAAACAGCTCTTGGATTAATTTCCAGCAATCTCTTTTGTACTCCTTTATGTTTACCTTTCATATTTGACCCATTATCATAACCTTGCCCTCTAATGTTGATCAATATTCAACCCCAAATTAACCAATATATTTTGAAGGGTGCCAAAAAGACCTTCACCAGATTTGTCTTTAATTTCCAAGAGTTTCAAAAAGAACTCTTCGATCTTTGGTGAGGTCTCAGAAATATCTACACATCGGATGACCAGTGACATCTGTTCTGTGAGGCTGATATCAGGAGTACAATCAAGAATAACTGAATAGTATTTTGCACATAGAATCTTCTTTAAGATCATTGTTTTGATCTCACTCAAGCATTTGTATCAACTCATTTTGAATTTTGTGACTCAAATAATGATTACGAGTTTCATGCTTTTCAATTCGTCTAATGTGCTCTTTCGTCACTTCATCAAAATCTACAAATACTTCAATCATTCCCAAAAAATTCCCATTATCAGCCACACGGATCTTGTCACTCTTTCCACAAAATGCCATATTCTGTTTAGCATGGCCTTTCACCAATGCAATTATCCTCAACAATACATCTCTTCAGTATTGTTTCTCTTTGTTAAGCTCTTCTTCAATATGTTTGTCAATGGTCTGAGTCGTCTTTAGTCTCACTTCTAGCTCTATCCATTGAGTCATACATACGATATGCTTTTGACTTTTTTCATGCTCCTTTAGCATTTTTGAATTATTTCTCCAGTCATTGTATCCACTGGTTGCAATCTGATTAGAGTTTCTGTCTTGAGTAAATAGTCTACAGAAAAAACAGAAGATCTTATCTTTTACTTTGGAGTAAAGTAACCAGTGTCTATCTTGCTTCTCTCCATTTCTTATTTCTCTTGTATAAGACGAATGAGAAAAACATCTACCAACATAATCTCTTGGAAAATGGTAATCAATCGGTAACCGCATAGTTGGATCTTTCTGGACAAGAAAATCTCTTATTCTATTATCAATTTTTTTTTTCCAGTTTCCAGGATCATCGACATCTCCACTTATTTGGTATTCTTTAACACCATCCATTTTTTCTCTCTTCGTCCTTATTTTCAGTCTCTTTTTTGCTCTCACTACCAGCTTCGCTCCCATTATTATTCCTATTCTGATCCACATCCAAGTTTTGTTCATCCTCATCAATATCACCATCCTCCATATCTTCTATAGTCTCATCTTCGACAACCTCATCATATTTAGGAGCTTCGGTTTTTTTAACATACCTTTGAGATTTTATGAAAGCTTCTTCTTTTTTTTTTTTTTCTTTCTTTTTCAGCACCCCCCATATCTTTTCTAATTATTTTAGACCCATTTTTCTGCAATGATTAAAAGAATATTAGTTACTATGAACAAACACATATAGACTATCACGAGAAGATAAAATATGTTTAAAATATGAAAATAACCAACTATGTTACAGAATATGGATTTACCACTTGATCAAGAAGAAGAGAAGACAATTGGTTTCTAGCTATAGAAATAGAAAAGAATAAGTAAGGGATTCAAGTTATATGAATTAGAATGATGATATTAATTGAGGAGATGTTTAGACTTGAGTTTGGGACAATGGCAAAAAAAAAAGACGCAAAATTTTAGGTCAACCCTATTTTCCTTTTTTTAAAGTTAATTTAGCATTACTTTTATTGTAAATTCGGAAAAAAATAAAAAATTTGCGACATGGGGGTATTGAACCCAGGGCCAGCCGCATTAAGCCCTCACGTTAAGCCACTACACCACCGTGTATCCTTATAATTTTGTGGCCGGAAATTTTATATATATTTGTCGGCCGCAAGCGAGTGCTTGATGGCCTTGGCCAAGGGCCGCCTCTGGGTCCATCTGGTGACCACTCTAAAAAGGACAGAAACTATAGGAAAAATAAGCCAAAGGAATAATAAGGAAAAAATTAAAAGGAAAAACTGTAGACAAGGAACTTAATCAATGGGAAAAACGCCATTTAAATCCTCAACTTACCAAAATAAGCTAAATAAAACCTTAACTTTCATGTAAGCTAAATAAGTCTCAAACTTTTAATTTTTTTCCAAAGTAATCACAAACTTATGTTGACCCAGCCTTTTTAAACCTCCTAAAGTCAACCGTTAAGTTTTCTTAAAACTTCCGTTAGTTGATGAAACGAAGCGTTTTGCTCTATCATTAAAAAGCAAACTCGTGGTCTTCCTTCTTCTTCATCGCTACCGGCGAAGTTAAAGAAGCTTCTCTCACACACCTGAATGAACCTCCGTCCCCTGAGCCTGCTAAAACTAACCCATCTCAGTGACAACTCAAACGCGGAGAGGCAAGAAGTGCAGACTAAACAGCCCATCTGAAACCACCTAACAACGCGGTGTAGTCAGCCAGAGATAGTCTCTTCCTCATGGACCTCATCACCACTCTGATTGCAACAATGGGACGATTGTTTCAGAAGCAGCATCGGAATATAGAAATGTTGCTCCGAGCTGGGAAACTGTGGTGACAGTTGTGCCTTCGATGGACGCTGTAGTGAAAGTCTTTTGTGTCTACGGCAAAAGGAAACGGCAGTACAGCTTTGGTAGTAGTGGTTTCATCATCGGAGGAAGAAGGGTTTTGATGAACGCTCATTCTGTTGAGCATCATACTCAAGTTTTTTTTTTTTGCTAAAAGATCATACTCAAGTTAAGCTCAAGAAACGTGGCTCTGGCACAAAGTATCTAGCTACGGTCTTAGCCACTGGAACTGACGGTGACATTGGTAAGTTTATTGTTTTTTTTTTCTAGTTTGTGTTGCAAAGGAACACTTTCTTGATTGTTTTTCTTTTGGATTAATTATCGCGACGTTGTTGACAGTTACTGATGATGGGTTTTGTTATTAGTTGAGAAGTTGTTTGTTTTAGCACCATCTCCTTCTCCCTCATCTATGTTGACACCCTCATCCTCACGGTCTCTCACAGTCTCATATGCGGTGAGTTGCTCAACCTCACGACCTTCTCCTGCATCATGACTTTCTTCGTGTCCATGTTCAATTGTTTCGCTTGAAGCGGGCCCCTTCTTCGACGTCTATAAACAAGCTTCATTGGCCGCTCCATCATCAATTTTCTTCAAATAGTCAAGATTTTAGGGATTTAATCATTTAAGTGTATGATATTGAGAATTAGAGATTTTTAATCGATTACGAAGAAGAGAAGACCACGAGTTTGTTGTTTTAATGATAGAGCTGAACGCTTCGTTTCATCACTTAACGGAAGTTTTAAAAAAATTTAACAGTTGACATTGGGATGTTTAAAAAGGCCAAGTCAACATAAGTTTATGATTATTTTGGAAAAGGTTAAAAGTTTGAGACTTATTTAGCTTACATGAAAGTTAAGGTTTTATTTAGCTTATTTTGGTAAGTTGAGGATTTAAATGGCGTTTTTCCCCTTAATCAATTGTTATAGTTAATGGTAACCAAAACAGAGGAACAAAATTTCAAAGAAAAAATAATTTAATAATTAACTCTAAAAATAATAAATGGACGTAAATAAGTTCCTTGGTCTAAGTTTCATGTTTCTACATTTCAGTCGCCTACAATGCATGTATCCATAACTACAAAAAAAACTTTTCATTAGGAGATACTAGATGAGAGCTAAGTCTATAATTGTTAAATATACATAATACTAAAGAGAAAAACACAAACCTATTGTCGACGAGAACCAAGTCTTTTATCTGACCACAATTGTGTAGCAATCTGATCTCGAACGATCTTCATATAAACTGCTTCTTCATTTCCTCGTACTTCATTTTCATCATCTGAATCGTTCTCACTTTGATTCATATGCACACCATTATTCTCTGTAGTCGCTTCCTCAAAATCAACATCTTTAATTTTATTCCACCGAATAAAATTGTGAAGCCCCATCGTTGCAAATATAACTTTCCTCTGTGTCGAGATATCGTACCTTGAGAATTCATTTAAAACCCTCCACTTTTTCTTCCATATTCCAAACGTACGTTCAATAACTTAACGTAATGATGCGTGCCATCTATTGAACATTTCTCTACTATTTCTTGGAGGCTCACAATTTATAAATTCTTGAAGATGATATCGAGTACCTTCTTTTCTTTCTTTTCGGTACGGAGCTAAAAAACCACGTCTATTTGCATAACCAGAATCTACGAGATAATATTTCTCTCAAGGAGGCTAAGGAAACAACGGATCATCTCGCATAGCTGTATCTAGCACTCTAGAGTCATGTGTTGATCCTGCCATTCCAACGAAACAATATGTAAAAAGCATATCTTGATCACATATTCCTAGAACATTTAGACTTGCTGTTCCTTACCGGTTCACAAATCGCAATGCATCACGACCTGGAGTCACCATAATAGGTATATGTGTTCCATCAAGAGCCCCGATAGATCCATTAAAATAAGGCCAATATTGTTTATCTCCTTGTAGACTATTAGATATTGCTTCAAACTCATAAGCTGTTCTTGGCCGTAAATAGTCAACTACCAATTTCAACATTGCTTCAAGAACATGATGAAACTTTCTACCTATAGTCTCCTGGGCATGACCGAATCTTAAACCGATGTCTTGCTGAGTGTCATTTTGACCACATAGAACAAGAAAAATTGCAACACTCTCATCGACTTTAATATTGTGTGACTCTTGTAACCCATACCTTTTCTCAAGGACCTCACATAAACGGATAAATGCTTCTGAGCTCATACGAATAAGAGTACGGCACGAGATTTCATTGTTGTAGATTTGCGCCCGTATTATTTTCCAACCATTTCCCCATACGTTGTTCATTGGATTCTTACAAAAACTTCTTTTGTAATATTGTAATATAGGATGCAGGTACCTTTGCATAAATTCTCCTTCTTCCAATAACATAAGCTCCACTAATTCATCTTTTTCTAGATTTTCAATTCCACGAGAACGTAAATCTATAATACAAAGATCCTGCACATATTTTTATAAACTTATTATTGATATAATCCTTAATAAAATTCAAGATTTTATAAATAAAAAATAAAATCCATATAAATATCAAACCTAATCCATAAAATAAATAAAATAATAAATCTCAAAACACTTAATCAAGCTTTTCAGCATCACTTCCATCATCATGTATATGAACTACACGTGCTGTATCTTTTGTTGATTCTTTTAACTCAGATGACTGCATCCCAAGTAATCCCATGAAATGAGTTCTATCAGTTTCAATTCCCATTGAACTAGTTCCAGTCATTCCAACATTCTGAAAGAGGTTTTGACTTGTCATTAGCAGATCAACATGAGGGCATGGGTTCCCCTATCTATCTATGCCAACTAAACTCTCCAAATATCTGATCTTAATTTCTTCACTCTCCAATTTTATAAATGCTTCACGGACATCTACTTCATTCTTCAACAGCTTATTTGCTGCCCACCAAAATACTCCAAGTTGTTCAATTGGTAATTTTTCTAGAACAGCCGTCGCATCACATATAATAGCTTCTGAACTTTTCGTGAGCGTAATTGTTCCAAAATGTATTGACGAGAATTTATTACACGTTGAAATCCACTCTCAACCTGTGTTTCAAAGCTACTTCTTCTTCTTGGAGGGCGACAGTTTAATATGTTTCGAATTGCTGGTTGGGTTCCTTGATTGGTAGGCACATCTGTAATTGGTTCAACACTTTGATCTTCTTGCATTTGGTCAAATACTGTGTCATCGTTGCTAGCTAAAGAAGTCTGAGTCTGCTGGAGATGTTGGCCAAGCATATGGGGAGAATAGCGGTCATCCTTCTCAACATCATGTTCACCAAAAACTTGTTCTAGCAAATCTTTGAACGGCAACGGTTTCTTTTGCAACACGCTAACAAATTTTCCTTTATTTCCATATTCCTACAGAGATAACAATAAAAATTTAGGTTAATGGATTTTTAATAACAACATAGTTAACTATATATGCATAAAGACTTACTGAAATCCGATCAGCCCACCAAGTTTGCATCATATCTATTTGTCCAGTTGATTGATCAACAGCAACTCCAGTGCGTTTCATCAGTTGACAATTGATACTCCATAGTTTACGAAAATAACCAACTTTGTTAGTTATTTCTGGATCCCAACAAATATTTTCTCCCACTAACTCAAGGTATTTGTTCTCATTTCTTTTCTTAGCAGCAGCATCAGGCATTCTACTACGGTAATCTCCTGCTCTTAACTCCGCAATGACAAGTTCAAGCATAACTTGACAGTTTGTCTTTCCACAGATACTAAAGTACATATTTCTAGTTATTAGCTTAAAATATCTATATTATAAAATTGATTATTGCAGGAAAAAAATACATTATATAATTACCTGGCCTTCACGACTGGTTTCACCATCGATTGTGGTTCTTGCCTCATTGTTTGACTTACGTCCACGACGTGCTCAACTTTGATTTCTTGGAGTTGACATAATAGCTGTAACATAAACACATGAACAAGTCTTATTATTAACCATCATTGTTCAGTGTGTATGTTTTCTTATTATACATAGAATATAGCTTACCTCCTCTTGTTTTTAGATGTAATTAGGGTTATATGAAATAAAGCTTGATGAACAAACGTTATATAGAAGAAGACAAACATAGAAGTTGGATTAAACTGTTAGTTTTCTTTTCTTTTGTGCAACTAAAAAATGTTAGTTTTCTATAAATTATTTGATACATTAACATATTAATATAATTTTGACTAGATTTTATAGTTTTCCTTTTGGTTCCTTATCTAATTTGAAGTGGAACATATTTACATTATAATTCCCCATAAGAAAAGGAACATGGAGGAATTACTAATTCCTACATGTAATAAAATTTTCACGCAACTGGTTAAAAAAAAATAGGAACTAAGAGGAACGTAGTATTTCCTGCTATTCTTTTCCTCAAATACTGTCACCAGTTGGACCCGATGAAATGAGATTACACATATTGCCTGGAATTTGAAAATTTGGTATCGACTGATTTTGGTGTCTTACAATGTCATTAATACTTTTGCATATTGACAAACAACTTCCATAATTTAACTACTCTTAAATGATACAATAACTGAAAAAAAATCTTAAATGATACTTAGAGAATATATCAAAGATAGCAATGAATTATATCCTATATATTTGAATATCATAACTTGCTAAATTAAACTTTTAACGAACCTAAACATAATCAATTTAAAAATTATTCAAAATTAAATGAATATATATATATATATTTTTTTTGAAACTAAATGAATATATATATATATATATATATATTCAATGTCTCATACCTAAGGACTATATTATACATAAATTTATTTAAAAAAGTTTATTTGATTTCAAAAACAAATCCGCGCTTTTTATGCGGATGTCAAAATCTAGTTATGTGTTATATTTCTAGCACCGTCAACATCATTTTAATATCTACAAATGTGTTATATTTGGAAACCGGCAACATCTAATTAAGTTATGACATATTTTCACATGTTCTTGATTGTACAACTTTGTATTTAAATGTTTGATCTATGTTTTTATTTTGTTTATTGATCCTTTATATGTGTATTATGATTCATTTCAAAGAGTTTTAGTGTCGGAGTTCCATCATTTGTTGATGGATTTTAAATCTGACACATTTTAGTTATTAGGATAATGTTGATAGTGTTAAAAATATGGGAAGTTAACTCAACTAGTATGAATTTTATTAATTACTAGATTTTGACCCGCGCTTAAAAAGCGCGGGTATTTTTTTTGTTGATTTTACATTTTTGTTTATTTGAACAAATTTTTTCTATTTTTTGTTGTTTTTACTTTTTGTTTTTTGAACATTTTTTTTTGAATAAAAGTTTATTTTAACTATAAGTGGATAACAAAATCATATGATTTTGATTAATCTGAATAATTAAATGGTTTTATTTTTATTGATAAAAAAGAATAAGAAAACCAATTGGTACAATGATAATATGGTTCAAATCTCAAATTCTGATTCCCACGTTTTAGAAATTGGATTCCAAACAAAATTTGCTTTGGCATTGCGATCTGAATTCCCAAAATCTTCTACATTAACACGTAATTTGTTATTTTCCATCCATACCAAAAAATTGAATTTATCTTGATCATCAAGATGGACAAAATGTTTGACTGTTGATCCCCGAAACATATTTTCAAACACAATAAGATTTTGAAGATGTAATTAAAGTCTGCAGGCCAACAATAATAAAATTATTATACCTTTTCCTGAGATGGACATTGGTATTGCAATGAATTCAAAGGAACTTCGTTGGCCATATTTCCCGGTTTTGTCTCTGTGAAAAGTTTTTGTAAAGAAGAACTTTCTGTTAAAGCGGCTTAAATAATTCTTCACGTCGAGTTATTAGGGTTTTTAGGTACATTGGTTTAGTATATATTAAAATTGGTTCAAATATATACCAATGCTATCGATTTGGTGCAAAAATAGTTGGGCCTGCGAGATACTATAAACGGGCCCAAAAGTATATTGACTAAAAAAATTGACCCTTCAATATTAATTTTTTTAAAAAATCGGATTTTGATAAAGTCAAAAGACACAAATTCTGCCGACAATGACCTAATCCTTTTCTCAATAATTCTTTCTGATTAGAATTTCGCTGACCTTTCTTTGTTTGGAATGTGAAGATAGAACAACAAATCAAAAGGAGTAATAAGTTTTTCCCCAAGTTGCAGAATCTAATTCTCAGCCACATCGCCCGATTCGTTGATGAGTCCGTTTCCAGAATATAAGACCCAAGTTGCAGAATCAGATAAGTATAATTCTTTTCTATTTTATAGTCTCAACAAATGGTCTATGAATCCAATTACTGATTGAGATAGTTGTTTGAGTCATCTCCTGATATATATTATACTATGTTCGTTACAATTGACCAGATTTCAGCTTTATTGGTAGAAACCGGAGTTTGATTTTAGTATTGGTAGTTCGATCGAAAACTTTATTGATGCGTTCATAAAAGCCACAAAAAATCAAAGTAGAAAGAAATCATAAACAGCATTATTCAATTCGTAAAACCATAGCATAAGTAAAACATAAAAAAATGATATTGTCTTCGGGATAGAATTAGCCGCTCTTCTTGTCTTTGGCTTCATAATTAGACATTTTTTTCAATTCCTCTGACACTGCATTGTTTCTTCGTAGATAACTGGTGCAATGACTTGATTCTCTTCCTTAGAACGTTATCAAGATTCCAAACTTTCAAGGCTTCAAACGTTTCTGCTCCACAAACATTGTTTTCATCATCTCCAGATATCCCAAAGCCGTAAGTCTTTCCTACGATCTCCACAATCTCACTTGGCAATTCAGGAATTTCGATCTGTTAAATATAGTAAGATTGAATGTAGTAGGAATCTCAGATGATATAAAATGTTCTTATAAAAACAGTATTAAGTAGTTGATAACCTTATTATAAGAACCATTTAAGAGTTTTGATGCAGAGGCATTGATAATAGTATTTGCGGCTGCATCTAGAAGCATTAAGTTTGACTCACCTGTTAGATCTTGCACAAGCAATTTCAACTTGAACCTGAAAACAATAATCACTAACATTGTTTTAGCATTACACAATATAAAATAAGTAATAAATAAGTATATAGTACGATCAGATTTTGGAATAACCTAATTACCTTGGTGTAACTTTGGTAACAATACAACTGCAACCCTCACCCTGAAAACAATAATCACTAACATTGTTTTAGCATCCAGACTTCCAGACAAAACAGATTGAAAGTCGGACAAATCCAGGTACAAATCTTCATTAACTCTATTAGATCGCGTAACGGCCGTGTTCTGATTGAAAACCATCTTCCATGAATGATTTGTGGTTCGATAAGCTCCACCAGCAGGAGTAATCTGGAAATTCCGGAGGTAGCGCCATGCTCCAACTGTAAGAAGCCTTGTCTTACTTTCAATGTAAGTCCTTTTACATGTTGCATGGATTTTTTGCCCCTTAAACATGTAAAACAAAAATANGCTCCACCAGCAGGAGTAATCTGGAAATTCCGGAGGTAGCGCCATGCTCCAACTGTAAGAAGCCTTGTCTTACTTTCAATGTAAGTCCTTTTACATGTTGCATGGATTTTTTGCCCCTTAAACATGTAAAACAAAAATATAGAAACATCAAATAACACTCGAAACAATGATAAAGAACGGAATGATAAATACAGAAAAATAACTTATAGTCTCATCAGCGAAAACGAACTCCATGGTCTCCACGGTTTGAATGTTTTGTTTCCAAGCGTGTAAAACCTTTACATGAACCAACCATGTGTTTTTCCATGGTTTCAAGTCGTGTAAAAGGACCACTTTATCATTAGAACCTCTTGATGCTTGGATTTGCATTTTAGTAGCCATTGTTTTGTTTACTGTTTTGTTTGAAGGTGTGTAGAGATAATCGGAATAGAGTGCTGTATATTTATAATATAAGGGACGTGCTTAGGTTTTAAGAGCAAACTTGGGGAGAAAGTTGGGGGATATTCTCTATAGTAATGAATATTGATTAGGATTAGTATTTGGGAAATCCATAAATATAGGTGAACAAAATATATTATATGCTTAAATCGCCCATTTAATATTGAATATTGATTAGGATTAGTATTTGGAAAATCCATAGATATTTTCTTTAGTCAATAAATTTTGAATCTTACCCGAATATATATGAGTATCCCAATATTATTGTTATTCATAATCTTACTGGAAATTATCAGTTGTTTAACATGGGTTTCAGTTCTCGGAATTTTCATTATCATGTGAATTTGCATAACATATAGGATTTATTTAAGAACTAAGATTGTATACATTAGTATTGGATTAATTTGAATAGAGTTAGTATTTATAAATCACATTTCAGTTACTGTACATAAAATAAGGTTAGGGAACTGGATTGTAGATATGGTTTGCATAGGGTTTGAATAGAGTTTAGGGTATAGGATTATCTGAATAGAGTTTAGGGTATAGGATTATAACATTTGAAGATGTTATAGCCCATTTGCAGATTTGAAATATTGAAGCCTATTTCTTGAAGCCCATTTAATATTTCGTGAAGCCCATTTAATAAAAAGAAAAAGTCCAGTTTTGCAATATTTTTTTAAAAAAAGAGGCAAATCTTGTAATTTCCTAAAACGTTTAGGGGCAGAAACCAAAACAGTCATCTGCTTTAATAGTATAGATTATCACAACCATACAAAACTTTTTTTTATTACTACCTTTTTTTTAATACCCAGCGTTCCCTTTTTTTATGTTGTGAGAAAAACATATTTACAAGAATGCCATTATTTTTTTGTGCCACGTAGGCAAAAAATCGGGTCCACGTAAGAATGCGGCATAAAAATCAGCCTCAATACGATATGAACTTCGTTAGGGCCGAGATAT